GTTACTGTTCTTCATAACTTGCTCTGCCTCGGCCTGGGTGGCCGCAACTTGCTCTGCCTCGGCCTGGGTGGCCGCAACTTGCTCTGCCTCGGCCTTGGACTCTGTAATGATTTTGTTCTCTACAACTTGTTCGGCCCTGTTACTGTTCTTCATAACTTCTTCTGTCTCATTCTCGTTCTCTTTCATATCCTTTGTCTTGTTTGTGTCTTCTGCAACTTCCTCTGCCTCATTCTTATTTTCCGAAACTACTGCTGCGTCGTCCTTATTCTCTGTAACATCTGTTTCATCCGTGACCTCTGCGACTCTCTCGGACTCTCTTTCAAACTCTTTCTCTGTAAATTCCCCTTTTTCGGTCTTATTTTCACTAATAGCCTCTATGCCAGTGTCGTTCTTTGTACTAATAACCCTGTCATCGGCATTTTCTTCTCTATCCATAAACTTTCTGTACAATGTTAGTTCCTCTGTGTTGGGTTTCTTTTCTCCGAGTTTTTCTGTGTCGCCTTTAGTCTCTGCGCCTCCCATTACACATCCTTTTCTGTGTGTCTCCCCGGCTTCGACTACATCGCCACTCAGTCTTGCAGAGCCACAGCCACCCTTGGCCCCTGTTGCCACTTCTATGTCTTCACGCTGAATTTCCTCGACATTGCAATGATTCCGTGAAAGTTCTGATTGTTCTGTTACTTTGTTTTCCTGCGTTCCCTCGGGACATCCTGCAAATCCATGCTTATGCTCAGACGATGTTCCTTTATGTATGATCGTGTGTTCGTTCTGAAGAATTTTCTCTTTATGTTTCCCTTCTGCTTTTACCATTTCCCTAATAGGCACAATCACTTCATCTTCATTATCTTTTGAGCCTTGATGCACCTGAGTGTATCCGCCACCGTCGCCAGAATTAATTGAAAGGAAATAAAAAATCCATTATTAATATCTTCAAAGTGATTATGAATAAAGAACAAGAGAATGGAACGAGAAAAGGGAAGGGATATGAGAGAGAGAGAGAAGAAAGGAGAAAGAAGGGAGAAAGAAAGAAAGGAGGGAGGGAGAGAGAGAGAGAGGAATAAAGGAGAGAGAG